CAGCAACAGGAACATTGAAAAGATCGTGGAAGCATAGAGCACAAAATTCTCTATCTATTGGTGTTAAATAATTTACTTTTAGCATCGATCTTGATGAGCAAAAGCTTACACAAATCAATAAATGCCAACAGAAAATAGGAAATCGCAGTTGAATGATTGATTAGACGTGAATCATTTTAATTCGGTGGCGATAAGAAAAATTTGTTTCAAAAACGAAGTCATCAGTTTTGCAGAGCTTGAAATTCTCTATCTTTTGATATTCAGGGCATTTTTTTCATAAATGAAAAATGAGAGAAAAATGCATCAGAATTTAGTGCAATTTATCTTGGATCACCCGTTACTAATAAAACAAAACCTATCTCGATCATATTCAAACAGCTATACTAGCTAAAGCCGTCTGAAGAGTGCTTTAGTCGGGACGAAATCATGATAACGGTAGCTTTACTCACCCACACCCTTCTCTTCTAGATAAATTTAGCTAAAATGATCTGGCAAACAACAGCTAATGAATTAAAAATGAAAGAATATGAAGAAATTCTTCGTAAACGTATCTATTTACAACGATTACCAAGTCGAATTGATAAAATTATTAATCCAACTATTGATCCCATTCAACTTTTACTTGCCAATCCTATGTTGAATAAAGATCGACGTGTAAGTGGAATATCAAATTGTTCAAAAACAATTCTACAATATGAATTTGATTTAATGACTATTAATCTTGATACAATGCAAAACATAAGACATGGTCATGAAGAATTACGTCTTGATTTACAAAATAAATTATCTCAATCTAATTGGACTGAATTAATTAAACAATCTATTGAAAATCGTCGACAAGCAATGATAGAACGGCTTGAAACTTATCTTAAACATAAATTGAATACTTTTTTCGACGCAGCTCCGATGGCATCGAAACCCTCACCCTCACCCTCACCCGCAGCAACAATATCGCCATCGGAGCAATACTTTTATTTATAAAACTATAGCTGCTTCATCACCATTTATTCAAGTTGATTTAAGTTTAACACCACAACAAATGTCCATGTTTATTAATGGTCTTAAGAGAGAGTCGGCGAGAGGACCACCCTACTATATAGGAACGTGTCCGGCAAAAAAAAATTTTTTTTCGATTTTATTATCTTCAATGATATGTCTAGTCAAACCATTGTTAAATCCAAAATATCAAATCATTTGGTTGTTCTTACGAAAAATGGCAGCAAAAACAAGTTTAAAGGGACGATTTTCACTCTATACAATTTGTAACAGGGGGTGTGCTCAGTATTTTGAGATTTTCTCAAGAACGGCTTGACCGTTTGAGCTCGTGAACGTCTCATTTGACAGAAAACTGTTTGGGCTACAATTCTATTCTATTTCAGTAACTAATATATTTGGATAAAAAATTCTCTGTAGGTCAAAAACTGTCCAAAACTGGTGATATGGTCCCTTCTCAAAATAGCGGTATTTTGGACTTTTCTCACATGGTACACGCGATCCCAAACTGATTTTTTTACCAGACATAGGTCTTGTCAAGATACAACTTTTGACATTAAATTGTGAATCAAAAAAACTGGGGGGCCAAGTTAGTATGAACCATACTATGGGTTACCCTACCTAGTGACCATTGATCCTATGCTGTACAGTAATACAATTTCTTTATAAATCACAAAAACTAACTTCAGATTCGTGTTCAGCCCGCAAAATTGGTTAGGAAAAGTTGTTTTAGATTGATTTTCTACTTGTAGCTAACGAAGTCATGATCATAGGTACATCCCATGAATATATCATAGATATAGGCACCAATGTTTTGATGATAACTCAGCAATGTTAATAGCTATCGAGTTTGGATTTTTCCTAATCGAGAGCCACTATCAATGGCTACAAAACTAT